CGAAATGCGTGGAACCGCCTTGTTACTCAGCGTTACCTCTTCTCCACCTGTGCTTTCTCTACCTCGTACAGTATGTCTCGAATGGTATTTTCATTGTCATAATCCACCTTGGTTAAATATTTAATTCTACTGGAGTCATAACCAGAGGCCAGAATGTCATGCATAGATTTTATGAAAGTAATAAAAAGCTGCAGAAAGTACAGCTGCTCAGCTTGGGCCCCATCGCCTCTGATCATTAGTCACACACACCTGGCCACGTGCTCCCTGACAGAATGGCAAGGGTGATTATCTAGATGCAAACTTGTTGTTCGGAGGAAGCACAGATAAGGAGCTTTTACTGTAGGTCTGAAATCAGTGCATGAAAACTATTTTGAAAGCGTGACATTCTCCTTCCTGCTCTCCAGCCCCTTAACTTGAGAGACTGATTTCCTGCAGCAGCCGCTGGTAAACAGTAAGTGCTCCATAAAAGCCCTCTGTTTTTCCACCTGCCAGCTGTTGCCTAGATCTTACACAGGAAGCCCTTTCCCCATTTCTGCATCTCTGTGAAATGACTAAAAGATCAGTTGGTGGCCTGTCATTCTTGTGGCAAAAGTTTAGATTTTAACTAGCGTTTAGATAAATAGAAGCCTGAAAGCCTAAAAGACTGTAGTTTAGTATTTCTTTTTCTTTCTTTCTTTTTTTAAAGATTTATTTATGTATGCTCGCAGAACTGGGGTACGAGCCAGAGGTGCAGGCGTGGTGAGAGGATCACCAGAGACAGAGTGGGGAACAGAACAGGCAGATCTACTGAAATACACTGCTGAGGGGAGCAGCGGGAGGGTCAGGAGAGGTCTGCTGCATCATGTGGATCAGCTCAGGGCTGGGGATCGAACTCACGCTGAGGTGGCTGCGGCCAGCTTGGAGTGCTGCGTCCTAACCCGGTGTGCCACCAGGGAGGGCCTAACATTTCTTTTTCACCCTTAGATGTATTTTTTCTGAAGTTTCTACAAAAATGTAGTTTCCAAACCCAAATATTTAATATTTCAAAAGGAAAAGGACTGAGAAAAACAGAAAGAAGTGACTCCTGATCCAGAGGCAGTCATTGTTAACACCGTCCTTTCCAGTGTGTGTATAGTTGGCATTTATTTTAAAGTGGGGTTACATGGTGTATGAGGGAGATGAACTACTTCAATTTTCAGTGGGAATAAAAGGCACAAGTGTATTTCCAGCTCACTCTCAGGCCAGGGTCAGTAGGTGATGATGGCAGCGTTGGGTTGAGGTGGGGCTTTTCAGTCTGGTCCCTTCAAGGAGTATTTTCCTTCTTGTCTTCAGGAAGTCCTCCATTGAGGAGGGGTTGGGGAAGAGAGTGAGTGGCAAATGCTGATTGGATGGGTCGTATGGGGCTGCAGCAGGGCATTTCCCAGGTCTGCTTAGATTCTGCCACTTTCCCAGGCCTGCTGTTTGGGGGAGTCTTTGCTTGGGTTCTGCTGCTTGCTGAAGCAGAAAGTCCCTGTAGTGTGCTGCTTGTCCACAGTAGCAGCTATGGCTACCTTGATCCCCTCGCAAACAATGAAGAGTGCCCATGCTATGATGGAGGGATGACAGTTTCCTCATTCAAACTGTATAAAACCTCACCATTCCTGGCCCTCCCTGGTGGCGCTGTGGGTTAAAGCACAGCACTAAGAATAGAAAGCCACTTCCGCATGAGTTCATCCCCACCTGCCCCAGAGGTGACCACATGGTACAGCAGACCTCTCCTGGCCCGCCTGCTGCTCCCCTCAGCAGTGAAGTTTGTAGATCTGCCTGTTCTGCTCCCCATTCTGTCTCTGGTGAATCCTCTCACTTTTGCACCTCTGGCATGTACCCCAGTTCTGTATGCACAAATAAATAAATCTTAAAAAAAAAACAAACCTTACCATTCCTGTAATTCGGGGTTCAGTCTTTTGGGACTGAGTTCTCTGAGCCCACAGTGTGACCAGGAAATCTCTCTCTCCACCTCTCTGAGTGCCATCTCGTTCCTCTGGGCAATTGCTGTAACAGGACTGTGTGGAAAATGCTGTCATTTCTATCCACATCCCATTGGCCATTGCTGAGTCACATGAGTGCACCTAGCTGCAAGGAAGGCTGGGATCGCAATATCCTGACAATGATCCCTCAATATCCTGGGTCCAATATCCCTCAAAACAGGTGCTTGTGCTTGCTGAGTGCCAAATCAACATCCGTAAAATTGTGGTCATCCCTTTACTTGCACTTAGTTTTAGTCATTTATTCATGTATACGTTCCCTGGCTTGGCGGTGCATGCTCTTTGGAAAGTAGGTCGGCCTAGTGGAAGACCATCCTCCCAGTGCTAAAACAAACCTAAGGAGACCCGGGTGTCAGCAGTTTCTCCTTGGGAGCCAGACAGAGTTCGGGTGCACAAATTCACCCAAGGAGTTTGTAGCGCCTGCAGGTCTTGCCCAGGGTTTCCAAGGACGATGAGACAGAGCGTTTCTTTCCAGGGCTCTTGACGTCTGCTCCATGGCTTGTGATGGACTGAACCTTACTATCCAGCCTCACAGCCCCTTCTGCATCTCCCCCAAATCAGTCTCAAGTGCAGGTGAGGGAGTGGGGCTCATTTCCACCCTGGGTCCTCCAGCCCTCTCACCTCACCCTCTTGCCGCCAGCCACAGTAGACTTTCCCGTAGCCAGCACTATGGATAGTGCTGGCAAGTTCCCCCCTTCTCTGCTCTTACCCTGCCCCCACCGTGTCCCCACTGTGTCCGCTCTGTGGGCTCCAGCCAGACTCTCCCCTGTGTGCAGTGAGAATTGCAGGCCGGAAGACGGAGCTACACAGGTTCTAACAGCACAGGTGAATCTAGGGGCGATATCTCTGTATCCTTGGGTTTCCACGACCACAAATTCAGCCATTGTGCTGCTGATTGGTGGAGGGGCTTCCCAGATGCAGCAGCCTATGATCACAGAGGGCCAACTGTAAGTCATGTGGATTTCCAGCTACGTGGGGTCCTCACCCCAAGCCCTGAATGGTCCAAAGGCCAGCTGTATCTGTAATCTCAGGGACGGCAGAGCATTGAGATGGGAGAGGCAAAGGCACACACCGAGATGTCTTTCTAGCCCTTCCCTACCCTCTGTTTCCTCAGAATGGCTCCCATTCCCTCTCCAGCCCCTCAGCTCCGTAGCCCTGTGGACCAGCATGTCCACTTAGCCCTTGGCTTCAAGTATGACCGGGGTTACATGACAGGTCAGCCACGCTTTCTGGTGCTCTGTGAACACTACCCAGTGGGACAGGGGAGAGGAGAGAGGGGCCAAGTTTTGATGCACAAGTGAAATATTTCCACAGTGGCACTGGGGGTCTGAGTAGGCAACGGGAGATGCCCCAGGATTGCAGTGGGGTACAGCTTGCTGTGAGAAACAAGCGCCTCATCTCTATGGCTCCCTGTGCTAAGAATCCTTCTGGGTTAGGGGAGGGAGCTGAGCCAGGGAGCTTGGCACTGGTTCGGAGACAGTTAAACCTTCGAGGGTCTTTCTATTATGGATCTGCTGAGGTTGCACCAGGCCTGCTTTGAAAGGGCACCTTGAGTGCACCTGGGTGAGAAACTCATCCCAAGCTCTGTACACCTGTGGACAGCTTGTATCAGGGGTGGGTGGTTGCAGAAATGCTGAGTGGATGAGCGAATCCTGCAGAGTAAATGAATTGAGCATGGGCTCTGGTGGCATCACACATGTGCTTGGCCTGACCCCTACAGCACCCCAGTCTCCCCATGGTCCAGCCCCTTCTGCCTTCAGTGTCCTGGACACTGGGCAATCCACAGAGTCAGTTAGATTTTCCTTTCCTCACCTGGGTATTGACTAAATACCCAGGATACTGCACGCTCCCTTCCTGCCCCTCCCAAGAGGGCAAAGAGAAGCCACCCGGAACCAGCATGGAGCCCACAAAATGCCCGAGAGCAGTGTAGACTCCCCGGGACAGTGAGCAGACACTTCTGGTCTCCTGCCCTCTATGTTCCTGTTCACAGCAGCTCCATCCTGGTCTACTTTCCTCTTCCTGGATAACTTTGCACATCCTGCTGCCTCTATCTCTCCCGTTTATCTGTTTCATCATCTTTTTCCCCCCACTTGGTTGTTTCAGCGACACCTTCTATTCCACTTAATCCCCAATTTCAATTTATGTTAGCACACAGTGGCAGAAACTGGGAGCCTCAGCCTAGCTAAGAGGTCCGCCGCCTCCCCACCAGCCACCTCATCTATCCAGAATCTTAGTCCTGAAATGCTCTCCAGCCAGCACCTTCGGCCTGCTCTCCACTCAGCAGGCCATGAGCAGACGCGTATGAGTTTGCAGGCTCACCTCCAGGGCCTCGTGCTCCGTGGCTTTCGAGAGAGCACTGCAATAAATAAGCAGATGAATGAATGAATGAATAAATGAATGAATGAGATGGTTTCCATTTAGGATGATGCGGTCTATCTATTTTCACTGGAACTGTGCAGTTACTTCTACTTGCTTTTAAACTATTTCTACCCATGCTTTGAAACTATCATTTTGAGGAAGTATGTTACCACATGACCTGCCTTTCTGCGCACATATAAGCTTCACAAGAGGCATTCCATTTTATTTTATTTTATCAAAGGAGGAATTCTTTATTCTGTTTATGATACCTTGTCACACTTGGACTTTTGGATGATTGCACACGTGTTTTCTGGTGGCTTCGTATTTGTAGTCTTCACCACTGGGGAATATTTCCTTTCATGGCAAAAAGAATTGATCTGAATGACCTACTTTACATTACCTGGCGCTTCATTAACCCGAGTGGCTTCAGCTTCTGGGGTCATGGCGTATGAGAGCTGGAAGGGTGTTTTTTGAACTGTGGCGTAAAGATGGTGCGTGCTTTATGCGTGGCTTGCTGAGACAGGATGCTGTGTAGCCCAGTGCTGGGCTGAAGAGAAATCACTGACTTTGCATTTGGGGGAGGGGCCCCTTCCTCCATGGGGAGCTCCATTTTTACACTCTTGTCCTCTTCTCCAACAGGGAGAGTCCCGTATTCTCAGAGTGAAAGTTGTTTCTGGAATTGATCTCGCCAAGAAGGACATCTTTGGAGCCAGGTATGTTGTTGTGTTTGTTTTTGTTTCACACGCTTCTGAAGAGGTCAGAAAGCACACTTTGAATCGAGTCAAGCACCCGAGTCACCTGGGGGGGTTCCTCAACCAAGGATTGAGGGGTCCCTCCAGGAGTGCACCCAAGCGGGGTCTTGAAGTGACAGCATAGACAGCTGTGGGGACTGATCCTTGGTGGGGACTGATCTAATGAAGAAATTAGGGTGGCACATTTCTGTCCCTCTCAGAAAATTACAGTTTGGGAATATGTCTCTGTTATTATTTTTTTAAAACCATAACTTTGGGAAACATATAAGCGACATTTTGTTCTTAGGGGAGATTCCTAGTTTTTGGCATGTACAGTAATCTGATGAAGGGATTTGGATGAATTGGATGATTTTTGGTGAATTTCTATGGCTTCTACAGCAGCACCAGCAGGGAAGCAGGCTGGACTTGCTGGGTTTTTGCCTTTGTGAGTACTGTGTGTGATTTCTATATAGTGCTTTATGCGGGGACTGGTTCCCCCTGGATCGACCACGCCCTCTGTCCCCTTGGCTCTCTGCATGAGCTGCATCGCCAAGGGAGGTCAGAGCTGCTTGGAACTAGGCTTTAGAACAGATTGGGGAATAAAAACCCTTTAGACTTTTTTTTTAAGATTTATTTATGTATACCTCCAGGAGCTAAGGTATAGGCCAGACGTACAGGGGTGAAAGGAGTCACCAGAGCCGGAGTGGGGAGCAGAGAGGCAGATTTACTGAGATACACTGCTGAGGGGAGCAGCGGGCGGGTCCGGAGAGGTCTGCCAAGCCATGTGGTCACCTCTGGGGTGGGGATCGAACTCATGCTGCAGTGGCTGCAGACAGTTTTGTAGTGCTGAGACTCAACCCTTGTGCCACGGGGAATGCTTGACCCGTTAGACTTTAGATATGGAGGAGACATCATAGATACTCCAGACCAATGCCCCTGTTTCATCATTGGCAAAACCCAAGTCCAGAAAGGTCATTCCCTGCCCAGGATGCAGGAGCGGGTAGTGCTGGGGCAGTGACTGGAGTAGCTTCCACCTTCCTCACAGTGGGTGGTCTGAGTACCAGGCTGGCGGGTGGCCCTGGCACTGCTGCCCAAACCACCTGGTGCCAGCACCGAGCCCACCTGCCTGTTCCCTGCTGCATTGCCCGTTGAGGCCTCAGGTGGCCTCACAACCTGACACTCTTAGTGACGAGCCTCCTGTGGGGTACCCTCTGTTTCCCACACACCCTGATTCTCCCCCCCACCCCCGAGCTGCTCGTGCTGGGGTCGGGGGACAGAGTCCCCCTGCGGGTGCTCCATGTGCTCACACTGATGGTCTTGTGTTTACTCATCACTCACCAGGCCACAGTTCAGTGGACACAGAGACATCTTACATTTTACATGTACATGCCCCTGCTGCTTCCATGCAGAGCACCAAGAGCAAGCCTGGGCAGACTGGATTTCCAACTTCAGCTTTCTCGTGTGTACTTGTAGGCTGGGCCTTTGTGCCAAGAATGCTTTCCACACACTCTTTCCAGTGTGTCTTACAGCTTTGGATTTCCAAATTGCACTTGGAAAACACTGCTTTTATTTTGTTTCATTTTATGCAAAGCCCTTCATAAATCAAAATGTGAAATGAATGTAGATTGTGTTTCTCAGGCTGGTAAGATAATCTGAGGCTAAAGTTGGTATGGAACTGGGCTCCAAATTTTTGAAGAACCAAGCACATCAGAGCCTTGGATTTTTACTGTTTGTGTGAAGAGAGGCAGGGTCATTTCTCAGAGGCAGGGCACAGAAGAATATGACTGACCCCTGAAAAAGGTGGGCCTAAGAATGCAGCACCTCAGGGCAGCTGGAAATCTACATCTAACCTTTGACTGTCTCCCAGATCGGAAGTACCAACAGCCTGATGGGAAGCCTTACCAATAACATAAATAGTTAGTCCGCCCATATTTTGTGTGTTATATTCTGTGTTCTCGGTAAAGTCATCTTGAGAAAAGAAAATGTCAAGAAAGTCACAAGAGAAAATGCATATAGTATTTTCAACCCCACAGACTTCAAGGGTCACCTGTATCACTTAATACCTTAAACGTTCATCTAAAAGAGAAATAGTTTCGTATCCTAATGGGCTAGTGCTTGAAAATGAGCCAGGCATTCTGAATCCTAGTCCTGTCCTTCATGATCTGATGAAATAAATCCAGCCCCCCCACCCTGTTACGCAATCCCCCTCCCCCCCCCACCTGCCTTCCTCCTTCCCTCTCCTCCCTCAGACTCCAGCTTCCTGTGAAATGTCAGTTCTTGAAGGACCCATTTGCCAACGAGTGAGCTCAGGTGCAGTCCCTGCCGCGTCACTCTGGAGTGGACACCCGTCCATGCCTTGCTTTGCCTAGCACCCTGCATTCTCCATCTCATTGTCCTGGCGGGGGGGGTCCAGTACAGCTGCGTCTGCCTCGAGAAGACCCTTTGCTCTGTGTGCTTCTGAACCCCAAGCCAGCAAGCTCCCTGTGCTCCCTCCGCCTCGGTCATCCTCCCTTCCCAGAAGGACCGAGTTGGCGCTGACACGTACTTGACAGGCTAATGGGTGGGGAGGGATCGATGGCTTTCACGCGGCGTCCTCTACAGCGTTCCGCAGTAGAAGCCACACAGCCTTGGACCCCTGTGCTTCCCTTTCCTTTGCCTCTGAGGGAGTGTGCTGGCTCACTTTTCCTGAGGCAGGAGGGCTGGTGCAATGTGAGGGTCAATTGTAAGGAGGTCATGGTGGGGAGACTGGCGTTGGGGGATGGATGTGTCCTTCAGGGAGTGGGTGAACGGACTGGGGAGAGTAAAGCCCTCCATCTCTCTTGGGAGGGGCCCCCATGCGACTGCTGGGGCCCCCTTCACAGCATTGGAGGTGGCGGGGTCCTGGTTTGGGGCTCCCCCTCAGCTGGTTCACCCTCAATTGGCTCTGCCCGGAATGCCCTTCTCTTCAGCTCTCCGTCCCAGCCCCGCACTGAGAATAAGGGATCATTTTCCAGCTTCCCCCCCGTCTGCCTTTATTCAAAGAGCCTTTGTCCAGGGAAGGTTTGATAACTAAGCTGTTGCGTGCACATTTGAGCAGTCGGACTAGGTGGGAGATCGTAGGAGCAGAGAAAGATGTTTTCTTTTGGCCCGTCATTTGAGGTCGAAGAAGGGCACTCACACAATCTGTCATTTAAACAGGGACACTTCTGTCTGGAACAAATGCTAAATCCAGTGGGCCGTCAGGACATAGGATGTAAATGAGGCTGCAGCCAGACCGGGTCAAAGACATCTCATCGTTAACGACCCATGCCATGAAAAAAAGGCTGTGTGATTTTTCAAGAATTATTTTTAAAAGCTGAGCAAAATCTCTTTCAAAAAGTAGACCATGCGTAAAAAGCCAGCAGCATCCAGGGGAAAGTAAGACTGTGCTGAAACACGGCCTGCGCAGAGTGCCCCCTTGCTAATGGGGCCCTCATTTTCAGGAGGTAACAAGCCAGGTGCAGGATCCTTGACCCCCCCCCCCCACTCTCCCAACGCCCCGGGGAAGGGCCTCGGTGGACCCTGCTTCAGTGGCTGTGGTGGCTGTCTACACCCGCCCCACCCTCCATGGCGCCCCCTTCCTGTGTGATCCGCTGCAGGTAACGCTCCGACCAGCACGTAGGTCTGCGCTGGCTTGTGGAATAATCCCAGCTCCCGCTCAGGTGAAGGATTTAAGTCCCTTAAAGTGGTGTGCCCAGCCTTCTCAGTCGGGTTTGCCCCCTACACCCCCACCCCCACCCCTGGCATATGCCCCTTGGCCTCTGTCTTGGCTTCTACAGCACCCCCTGAATGTGCCTTTGCCCTTCCTGCTCCCCCTGGCCCCTCAGACCCCCCCGGGCCCCCCACTTGTGGCAGATCTGCAAGGTGCTCATCCCCTCTCACACCCAGACCTCCCCGTCAGGCCTGCAGACCTGGTCTGCTCCTCCTCCTGCTGCTTCCCGTGTGGCTGTCTCTCGGCTTGAGTTCTTTTATGATCATCACTCTCTATTTGACCCAAACTACATGGCTAGCTTCTGCTGGCTGGGACTGCATCTTACACAGCCCTCAGCCTAACATAGGAGCTTCTCAAGACCTGGCCAAGTGAATGAATTGAGTCCTGGTTGCATCTGAGCCCCTCCTCCCTTTCTTCCCACACCACTGGAAATCCTCCCGTCTCTCCTGTGCTGTGAAATGCGAAGCCACTTTGATTTATTGTGTGGAATCTCCCTGCATCCTTCTTGGGCCATTCAGGGGACTTTGGGGGTCCTGTTGGGGTTTGGGTGGCAGCATCTCTGCTGAGTTCTTCTCTGCTCCACCTACCCTGGGCTGGAGCGGACGCCTGAATTTCTTCCTCCGTGAGCTCCGAGGCCGTAGCCAGCTAATTCCCACGTGCAAAGCCGGAGATGTGGGTCCATGGCAGTTGCCGGGTAAGTTGACTTGAACGGACTAAGCATAATCGCATTACAGTCTGTGGTAGCACGGGCTGCCAGCGGGAGGAAGGGACAGCTTTTTCTAATTCTCAGGGAGGTGCCACTCATTATCAGGCATCTTCCTAGCCCCGCCCAGCTAGCCAGGCCACACGCTCCGTAGAACACACACTAAGGGTCTGTGGAAGCCTGCCCAGATCGCAGGGAGGTGAAAGTGGACAGGGACATGAAGGGGAGCGAGCAAAAGGTCTCGTGCCAGGAAAGAGTCTGGGAGGGTCAGCAGAGCGGCCGGCAGGGGAGTCTCCATTTGGCACTGAGTGGTATTCGCACAGAATTACTACCTGAGGCCCACAAAGGGAGCATGTGCTCTTGTGGCGGCCTGGGACACTTAGATCTGGACACTCAGGTGGCCTGACCTGGGCTGCACTGGAAGGCCAAGAACCTACAGCAGCCACAGCATTGGGGTCAACATGGAGCCAAAGCCACAGTGGTGGGTGCTGGGGAGCACGGGGTGGGTGCTGTGGCTGGCCGGCCTTGCACATGGGAGGGTGGGGCAGT